AAACGTAGATAATATATGTGAAGAGTACAATATAATTAAAAGTAAGCAATCAGTTATTTTCTAAATTTGATTATATTGCATTAAGCCACATTTAGATCATACAAAATAATAATTGTTTGAAATGCTGAGGTGTTGTTGACTATAGGTATGAATTGTGCACTAATTACACTAACTAAAAACTCCCATAATGTGGAAAATAAAACCCAAGACATTATCCCTGTCTACTGCCTTAATGGGTATAGCATATACTACATTTTGTTGAGCTATACCATAACTAACATTTGTTATTAATTTTAACTCAATTCTGCTGTACCTTTAAAAAAGTTATCGATTTGGTTTAACAATCCCCAATGAATTAATGATTTTAAATTCATTTCATAAATTGTGGTAAGACCATTTTTATTTATCCATTCACTACAGCCTATCAAGAGTTCACTGCTGAACATAGGCCTCCCCGATAGATCGCAATTAAGTACCTATTTAAAAAGTGGACTACAATGAGGGCTAATAATCTCACGCTCACCAGATGTCGCTAGTTAGGACTGAGGTGAACTTATTTGTCACGCAGATGGTATCACAGTGTTATCATCATTGAAAAGTTACATTTTAAATAAAAGTTTTGCGGTATCTGGAGCGTGCTTATAGACAAAACAATACTTCAGTGGTGTTCTTTAATTTTTTACACTTTTTAATTTTTTTAAATTCTTTTACTTTTAGAAATATCCGTAATTTGGTTTATCATTAAATAGCTGAGTAGGCTGGAGCCTAGGGCGGCAGATTTTAGGGGCGGCGAATTTGGGGCTAAACCTTTTTCATTTTTCACTTGGTGGATAAATTTTCCTACAATTTGCATAGGCGCGTTTGTTTGGGGCGCGGAAACGAGTGACATGACCGTTCGCTAAGTGTGTTTGGTCGAATTTGCTGACCTATGTAGTATATTATCTATGGAAATGCTAATGAATTGACTGAACGTGCGAGGCGAGTCGCGGCCGCCGCGGGAGCCGCAGCAGGATCGTGCTGTTGAAGGCGTACGCTACGTGTTGGCATTGAGTTTGAAACAAATAGATGTATTTACTTCAAAACTTAAAGAAAAGCTGCCTCGGTTGAATCCTGGTGCGATTTCTAATACGTACTAATATTTCTCCGGCCCAATTTTTTGGAAAATTACTTATTGGAAAAACGTACTGAAGAGGGTTCTTGCCGTAGTATGATAATGCCGCAAACATGTCTGGTGTGTGAACAATGGCTAAAATTCAAAGCCAAGCACCTTTTGCTTTTTTCGTTCAAAATTTAGTGGCAACTGCGACTGCTGAATGTTGCACAGAAGCTTGTCGCTTCTTCGGTTCTTTGTAGCTGAACGAGAAAATTTTAAGTATTTTCAAGAAAAAGTGATCGAAATAAGCTTGTCGGAGTAGTATACAAAAGACGTGGGGAAAATACAACCGGAAAGGAAAAAAATATATGATGAGACACCTGATAAAAAAATGAGAATGACTTTAAGTGATACTTTCAAGGCTAATAGATTTCTAGTCCTCATTGATAGACTCGTATCTGAATTAGAAAAACGGTAGATGTTGCTTCAAAAAAACTTTTCATTTCGAACCAAAATCAACAACATCATCAAAATCATCATTAGAGAAAAAGCCGTTTTCTTGGAATAAATGAATCCTAATGATTTAGAGACTGACTTAGTTCAAGAATTCATACATTTTCAATGCCACCTTTCATCTGAAAGAATTTTGGTGAAACCAGATTCTAGGTCAATGGAAACTTTATCTTCGTTCCTGCGAAATCAGAATTTTCAAAATGTTTATCTAAACTTGGATATAGCAGTTCACATAGATGTATATACACTAGTGAAAATTTTTCCGCTTTTCTTTCTTAAAATGGCTGAAAAATTATCCAAAATCTACCTAAAAGCACGCCGGGATCACTCCCCGAAGTTACTTGCAACATTTGAGGACCGTTGAACTTCTTCAGGGAGATTTCATGGCTCGAATAAGTACATTATTCCCGCCTACACGCAAAATACGCGCTTAGACGTGGAGTTACAGAAAACAGCCCGTCGTAAACTAAACTAGGTACCTAAAGACAAGAAAAGCTAAACACAAAAGTCAGAACTCAAAATTAATGATCAAAATTTCATTCGACGATTGATGATTATTTTGCAAATAGAAAATTACGCAAAAAGGTATTGTAAAACTTTCATAACGTAATTAATTGAATTTCATCGTTAAATTGAATTTCATCGTTATTATCAGCCGGATTGTTACAAAGTAATTGAATATACTATTTTTAAACTGTAAGTAACCGCTAAACTAAAGATAATCTGGGAACCGACACATCAAGTTACTAGTTCACAACAATTATATTAATGGCAAGTAAAGGGTGGTGTGATTAGAACGATAATGCACAAATCATGAAGTTACAATTTCATCAACAAAAACATTGTAATTAATGTGATTGTGAACTAGGGCATCGAATTGTAGAAGATCCGTAGGGGCGGCAAAATTAGAACTGGCGGCAAACGTCTAAATCATATTCCGTATTGTATATATTATATTCATATTCATATTCCGCCACTGTACCTAATTAAACATGAAATAACACTAATATTTCAGAAAGAAACGGTAATTACCACACTTGTAACAAATTAACTTTTTCCGCCATGAAATCTGTCAAGTATTTCACCTCAGGCCTAAATGGCGCCGCCCTGGTGGCAGAAAAAATCGAGGATGCTGTTTGTTTCGCGCGACAGTTAAGTTTGCCAAGAATTGCCTAAGTTTATTGCTCACGTGATTAATATGAAAACCTCGATTTAGTTTAGTATCCATGTGTAATCCCAGTATGTATGCTTTTTTATAACTTCAATTACAGGACAGCTACAAAAATTAGAGGAAGAAGCATGAAGGCAACTATGAGCCAGGGCATGTATAATTTTTCTTTTTGTTATAATTTTAGATATGGCGATTTAATATGTAAAAGTTTTGGTTTTGCTGGCATTTAAGACTAGGGCCGCGTCATGATATAATTTTGCTCAGTTGTCGGAATCAGTCTGTAATTGGTCCAGTCATAGATATATTCTTTCTACTAATAACTAGTTATATATTATAGTATTATCGGCAAACTGATAACATGTCCTGTATTTAATCTGACTATGCATGTCATTTACGTAAGACAACAAGTGTAAAGGTTCTAAAACTGATCCCTAAGCCATGCCATGAACAGCTGTGATAGTATCACTGCAAGTGTTACTTTCAAAAATTAAATTATAAGGGGTACATACAGATTTACTCATTTTGATTATGATATACTTTATACATTAATCGCCATTGTCAAATCTTGATTTTGTTGGAAGTACAAAACTCTTATTGTTTTTATATGCTTCGTCTAAAATGAAGTGTTCATTTAACATTAATTTTAGAGAGGGATATGAGGTAAAAATATCATATACTTTTGTTTAAAAACGCGACAAACCTTTAACAATGTAGGCCTAAGTAGCCTATTTACAAAATTTTAAGAGACAACTAGCGTTGGGCAGAATTGCAACCAAAAATAGTCACAAATCTAATTAAAAAAAAAACGGCAAGAATCCGTTTATGGGGAGATTTGACAACCCTAACGATGAATTAATTTTTGCTCGATAAATTATAATACCAATTCAATTTAATGGCTTATTTACAAAAAAATATTTTTATTATAGTGATAATTGTAAAATAATTCATTCCAATATAACTTTTATACATAATGTTCATTTACTTTTCGGTATATTAATTTATTAAGGCTAATATTGTAAAGTCTGAAATTGATAGTATTATGTAGATATTATATTACAATTCATTCACAAAACTACAACTCATTTGTTTTTGCTATTCCAATATTAACACAAAGCTAATTTATACAGATATCACTGTTAATTAATCAAATGTTAAAAGTTTATTACATTCAAGTGTGAAAGCTTAGGACATAGAATTTTTCAACATTATAAAATATCTTTGATCATAATTATCAATTAACAATTATAAATATACAAATAGTATGAAATGTCCCAATAACAATAATTATGTTATAATCACAAAACATTGTCTATGAAAGTGGTATAAAAATGTTTTCTTTTTAATCAAAGACTTTTATGTACTTATACTACTAGATGGACAATACGGTAGCAGTACATTGCGCACTAAGTTACGGTCAATTCGCCGTAACACCTTTAGTCGACAGAGACTAGTCTTCTTTATTTCTGGACAATCTAACGCACTGATATTGTTTAATGTGACTAAGTAAGCGCATTATTCATGTGCGGGCTTTGTCAAGGTGCTTTTTTATTTCGCATTTGCCTAAAATCATTAACTGTCGTAAATGATAATAAAACTACGCGGCATATTTATTGTGCCAGCTACCCATCCAGCCAGCGCCTGCGTGGTCCACAGCGGTTTTTGGTATGAAATGCTGCTCTAGTAGCATACATAGAAGTCTTTGTCTAAATGTACATGTTAAGTCAAATCATAAATCAACTTTCTACAAACTTGCCCCATTTTTTTTTATTGCCCTAATTTTAGAAATTTTTACATTTTACATGATCAAAATAGTATGGTATGATAAATTATTTTAAAAATATAATTGAATTTATCATAGATAATACACTATAATATAATACCAGGAAAAATTAATCTTTGGTTAAGAACAGACCAATTGTTTTTTTAAAGTATTTTTTTTTTTGTTTTCAGTTTTATTTCCATAAGGATATTTTAAACAACACGGGACCAATACTTCTTTACTTCAATTAAATTAGTTTATGAAGTTATTAAATGATGACGATGTTGATGATAAAATAACTTACATACTTTTAAGATTTACTAAAACTGTAAGGAACAAGTGTTGTGAAAGTTTGTATGACTTCATTTATATCAAAATAAAAATTAGATACAAGTTTTTTGGTGATATATTACTAATTTCCTTCAATATTATTATTCTAAAAAAATAAAATATCATTATCACATTTATCTGTCTTCAGATGTTTCTAAAAATTGAGCATAGACATCTCTGTTGCATTCACCTTTGTCATTAAATTTGTATTTGTAATATGAACCATCGGCACAAATAACTGAAAATGTATATTTCAGATATGACATCATTCAAATTTCAAATATTATTTATTATCATAATTATTTTTAAATTATATATGTATAATATAGGTTTATTTTGCAGAGTAGCCAAATTTTAAACTTAAGTTAAAATATATAAATAATGATATAACGTTATTGCAGTTTTTGAAAATACAAGTAAATAAGGCTTTTATTTTTATTCCAAATTATCCCAAATTGAACGTGATTTATGGCCAATAACTACTGATAATAGTAGGCCTTAGACATCAGTTAAAATAATGCATTACCACGCATTTTGAACTTAAAAGAATGTTCCACCCCTTCAACATTCGACTGTATTACTTATTCTGAACCTTCTCTGCACATTTGACCGGTTATTGCAAAATAACCCTATATAATATATGTATATATATATATGAGGGGTGATCCAAGTGTAATGATAATAAATATTAAACACGGTGATTATAGTTTAAAAAAATAATTTATTTTCCTACATAGTCTCCTAACAAGTCGCATTTAGTCCATCTTTTTCCTTGTCTTAAAAATCTTTATCTTGAATCTCCAAAAAAAGCCTCAACAGTATCCACCACTTCGCTATCATTTGCAAATTTCTTGCCTCGAAGGTGATCCTTGAGACAAGGAAATAGATAGAAGTCACTGGGAGCTAGATCTGGCGAATAGGGCATAGAGCAGTTCAAATCCCGTTTCTTGAATGGCAGCCATCGCAAGGAGCAGGCTTGATGAAACATTACTCCAACTCGCAGTTTGCCGCGTCTTTTTTCCTTAATAATAATAATATAATAATAATAAAGTAAATTTTTCCTTAATAGTCTCCCGCAATCTTCTTATTTGACTTGCTAGTAAGAGCCCGAAATAGTGGCTTCCTTTTCCATATATTCCACCGTAATTATACCTTCAACATCCCTAAAAACAGACGTCATAACCTTTTCCGCCAAACTTGACACTGAATTTCTTCGGCGTCGGTGAGGAGGCTTGTTCCCAAACCATAATTGTTGTTTAGTTTCAGCATCAAAATAGTGGATCCAAGTATCGTCCATGGTCACGGAATGTGACAAAAAAATTCCTGATCTGCTTGGAACATTTCGAGGTTTATCCTCGAAATGTCGACTTGTTTTTACTTTTGCTCGTCGGTTAACATTCTCAGTACTCAACGCGCTGACCTTTTTCATATGCAATTTGTTCACAAGGATTCTTCGAACACTGCCATATGAGATCCCTTTGAGCTCAGCTATATGCCTGATGGTCACTCTTAGATCTGCTAATACGACATCTTCGACTTTTTTCACATTATCTTCAGTAAGCGATGTTCATCTTCTGTGGATTTTCTGCCCAGCTTTAACTCCTTGGCCCAGCGTGCATCTGTGGAATACGTAGGACCAGTCTCCCAATGTTTCCACCAAGTCGCTGTGTATGTCTTTGGTAGACATATTCTTAAACAGAGGTACTTGATGACTGCTCTAATTTTGTTTTTCTCCATTTAAATGTTATCCATTCGATGATTCGTATTCAAATTAATGTACCTCGCGGGAATCGTAGCTTATATATATGATTGTTTATGTTGATCTAATGGGTATGATACTTTTAATGGGTTGATATTTTTATGTGCACTAGAAATAACTGATTATAATTACTTTTGGAACAGCCCTCATATATATATATATATAAATATTAATTGGAAGTTATTTTCCATTTTCTTAATACCTAAAATTTTTTTCTAACTTCAAGGCTACACATATTACTTATTTTATATTTTTAAGGCTACTTATTATACTTAAGGAAAATGAGGCATTCCATCTTAGTCCTCACAGGTGACAACGCATCTGCATTTTGATTTGCAAACGAGGATAGATGTAGCTGTCTATGGGCCGCAGCAACCACTTACCATCAGGTGGACTGTGTGCTCGTTTGTCACCCTTATCCTACAAATATATATATATATATATATATATATATATATATATATATATATATATATATTTAAAGAACAGAAATTTAAAAAGCGGTTGATATCGTGCCATGTCACTCATACATGGTTTGAGAACTTAAATCAGTTTGAATGGGTTTAAATTAGAAATTGTAGTTGCAGTTCACTTTCAAAATGTGTCTATTTTCTTTATTTTTATAATTTTTTAGTGTTTGTCAAAGGTATAATTTTGAGACCGAAACACAGTAGTGCAGGCACTGCTATTTGGTAGCAGAAAGGCCGAAAAGTACCTGGTAATGATGATCAATAAGAAATTAAACTATTATTATGCTGTCCATACCAAAAAATTACTTTCCACCATTTATGATTCTATTCTTAAATTTCAAAAGTTATACTTAATTTTTACATGTTATTATATTTGTCCTAAATATAATATAATATTTGTTTGTAAATATTAAATCATTTCCAAGCTTGCATAATATATTTCTATAATAATAATGTATATATGATTTATCTAACATTACCATCTACCAAATTTACTTAAAAATACTTGAAGAAAGTTAAATAAAATTCAAACGCATAACTTACCAATTATAGAGCTCTTATCAACTCCAAAAGCGCAAATGCAAGGAGGGCCATTTGGTATTGTAAATTTGCAAAAACTCCAATTGCTGGAAAAATATTTAGGCAAGAAATTAACAGTTGCCAAAGTGGATTGCTTATTCAACTTGTCATCCTCTAAACTGAAAATGTGCACTGTTCCATGATCAGATGTTACACATAAGTTAGTACTTGTGTGATTAAAATTAATACAATATATAGTTGCCTGTAACAAGAAAAAAAAATATTTTATGGATTCTGATCTATGCAACATATGTAGCATTATTAATAGGTTATACAGGGTAATGAGCACAGTTCACCTATCTACCTGAGGGGGTCTTTAAGACAAGATAGAGTCTACTGCAATCCAGTACTTGGAATGTTTTTTTAAATTTATTAGACATACCGGTTTCCTTATTCCTTTACCACTGAGCAGGATGTTAATTAGCACATAACATTGTAACTAAGATTTTTCTGATGATGAACAACCATGGTTTTTTGAAAGCAGTTTTGACTTAATTTAAATACAAATATTTGGAGCATTCCCTTCAATTTAGGTCACAATTCCCTTTGTGATAAGAAATTTTTTTTTGTTTTTTTAAAAACACGTTACCCCCATACTAGGATTTTCTCCTGTATTGTGTAGGCAGTTTACAAACATAAATTGCACAAGGACAAACATCCAGACCTGGAACAATTACTTGTAGGCCATACAAATACTTGTTCCGTGCGGAAATTATTACAATTATATGTGCTGCTATACATAAACAAAGGATGGAACATTCTTAGTGTAGTTTCCTAATGGAATGGAGTGTAATTATAAAGAAATTTTAAATCGATTCATCATCCACAAATTAATTTTAGCAATTTAATTTAGTTTAAGAAATATCCAACTTCACAGTACCCTGCAATGAGCCCCATCAACTAATATTAGAGGAAAAAAAAGCTCATCCATTAATCACAATTAATCATTATGTGGCATAGATTTAAATCTAGATAGTTTGAGTAAGAAAAAAAAGAAATACTTCCATATTATGTCCTTGAAGGAAAAAAAAAAATAAAAATTAATTAAAGCATAATGAATTTATCACCTGATGTGCACCACGCCTAAGTTCTGCTAACTTCTGGCCACTATTTGTATCAAAAACTCTGATGAGAGTCCCTTTAGTAGAGGCTGTAGCCAATCTTGTTCCCCCTACATTAAGTGCTAAGCAACTGAGTGGAGCTTCATGAGCACTTATGAGATGACCTTCAGGAGTATTACTTGATCCTGCTTGATTACTTAACTCTACAAGCTAAAAAATGTATGTGTTTTCAAAATTTATAACAAGTAATATTAATTTTAATGCTAAGTTTACACGCTTGCCAAATCTTAGCAAGCTTCCATAAGTCCGAAGGCTATAAAAATGCTAGGCTCGCGTTTAGGAATCATTTATATGCTTGTGATTAGAGGTCGCAAACTGGGATACCCGACTGAAATGAAAGTTTTGAAATACCGGGATTGAGTGAACGGAAACCAGTATTTACGGTTTTTTCGGTGTTTCATTATAAATCTATGTTAAATAATATTATGTCAATAAAAAATTGAAACTAACCAGACAGTTTTTCGTATGACAGCTTTAGATGGCCTTTCATTTAGCCATTTTGTTACATATATAGACCAAAAGCGCATAATAGCGTTATGTGTTACAAAATGCCTACATCCTCAAACTCCATTAAACACATGGTGTTAAAGCACAGTGAGATGGTGAAATTATCTTTGATTACAAAACTGCATCAACTGAAAGCAGACGGAGTGAAACTATCTTTGACACTGGATGAATGGACGAGTTTGGGAAATCGTCAATATATGAACGTTAATATCTACAGTCCCATATTAACCAATAATTTTGCCAATCTTGGCCTGATAAGAGTGTTTGGTAGCATGCCGGCCAGTTATTATAAATTATCCACATTCAAATTGTCTCTAAATGAGGATATAGTCTGTACATCTACTGATGGTGCCAGTGTAATGATCGCATTTGGAAGACAAGCAGCACTTTTCCACCAGCAATGCCTTACTCATGGTATGCAGCTAGCGATATTAGACGTGCCCTATAAAAAAGAAAACAGTTCCCAGACTCAACTAAGCGAACTGGAAGATGACGATTCTTATGACTCTGCTCGGAATGTTATGAAGAAGATTACTAGAAGAGGGTTTTTATTTGACTGAGAGCATAAAGATCAACAGTTAGAAAGATTTGTCAAACTCAAAATTCGTATTCAAAAGGTGCTGATAGATTTAAATAAGGACTTGGAAATATCTGAGAATGAGTTCAAAAAACTAGTTGATCTCAGTAATGTATTTGAAATCCTAAAAGCGACAGTCGAATAACTTTGCAAAATAACGTCAACCTGATGACCCTGATGTCTAACGCGGCTTTGATTTGTATGCTCAAAAAATTAGAGGCTATGCATCATGAACCAGTTGCTCGTGAACTTCTCCGATCTTTGAAGCGAAGAATTAAAGAGCACCGATTGTTGGTGGCTTCAACTCTGAATTATTTGCATGATCCTAAGTCATATTTTAATTCATCAGATGATGACTACTCCGACATCTTTCTAAGGTCAGATGGCGACGAAATGCGAAAACATATTGCAGACCTACATCAGCTTGGTCAGACTCAGGCTACAGAACGTACGATTGACATTTCTGTTTCTACTACAGACGAGGAGAGTATACACAAGAATGATAAATCTAAAACACTACCGCTCAAGAAGCAATTAGAAATAGTAGTTCAAAAATAACTGCGGACTTCAGATAATGTATCTAAAAATACCCCAGGCGATGTAGATCTGGATGCATTGACCAATATAGAAATGCTGTATATGAAAGCGGCGGTTCTAGGGGAAAATATTTAGAATTAGCATATCATAATTTTTTCTAATCATTTGCGCTCAAGATTAAGTGACAAACACTAGATGCACTATTATTTTTACGATCTCACTAATTAAACGAAAGACTGACTGAATCTCGTTCCTAGATCTTACGTAGCATATTTAAAACTGTTAAAGAGAAATGTATTATAAGAATTAAGTTTAAATTTATATAGTGAATGTAAATTGCGAATAATAGTTTCCAATTTCCATGAAAAGAAACATTTACGTTTTTGTTTAGGAATAAGATGAGTCGCCAAAGAGCATTTTATGTTTTGTTAAAGCTGAGGATAAGATTAATAAATGTTACGATTTCGGTTTTTGTGTTTAGTTATGAAGAAGTTACTTAGCAGGAATATTTTTTTTTTTTTTTTTAAGGCTGATTACTAAAAAGAGGTCTGGTATTGCGACCCCTACTTGTGATGCATCAGTGTGCTCTGAACAGACAAGCATGACGGACATCGAATTTATTTCAGCTGTCATGTTTCATTTTTTTATGTTTGAGGAAAGTTGTCATTATTATTTTTTGGGGGCGGCATAATCACATCAGCGACAAAGCCCTTTGTTTATATGTGAATAAAAAAATAAAAAAAATATTTTTTTCAGCTTTTAATTCTTTTACTGGCTTTGCATGAATTTGGTAACACTACTCTTTCTTTTTATCTTTATGGTTGACCTAATTGGGATTACAGATTGTTAATCTAGTAATATTCCAGAAAGGTTCGACCAGTCAAATATATTATAATCTAGGATTCACTACAGAGAAGATGGTTCATCTGTTGCAAGATCACAAGTGTTACTAAACACACACCAACATGTGAATTTGTGGCAGGCGCCCTTTGATTTGTGTATAAAAACCAACCTTTGACCAGAACAACGACAAGCAAGCTTCCCAAAGTTTGCACTAGCCAAGTTAGCACCCCTGTTTACACGTTTGTGCCTGTGGAGGCTTGCTGAGGCTTGACAAGTGTATAAACCCGGAATCAAAAATTATATTTATCCTTACCTGAACATGTCCAGTTTTACGACTAGGGTAAGCAAGCAAAGCATTATTACTGTTGGGACAAACAACACAAAGTCCACGAGTATTTTGACATGTTTCAAATACATGAAGTAATAAAGGTTGTGCAGTAAAAGTATACACCTTGATCAAGTTCTCTGAAACATTGAAATTTTAGATAAACAGTACAATAATAATTTTCTCATATTCTTTGCAACATAAAACAAAAATGTTACCTAAAACCACAACTATCCTATCTCTTCTTAGTTTTACAGCTTTAACTGGGCTATTAAAATCCAATGATATTGCTGAATCTTTTTTCAAATCATCCCAAATTATAACTCTATTTGGTGGATATAAAGGAGTTTTTCCTCCACCGACTAAGGCCATATAATTGCATCTGAATAGCATTTCTACGTAGGATAGACCACCTTCAGCAAAGTTCTGTCTTTCTTTTTCTTTAAGTGGGTCACTGTTAAACACTCTAAAACCATTTTCCGTCCCACAGGCAAAGCAACCTGAGAAATCACAAAACGTGTGAGTGTGACTGACAAAATAATACACCACTACTAGAAAACAAGACACAAAATGGAATACACACCTTGATCTTGATTAAATCCAACATATAACAAGCCATTCGAAAAAGTGTTTTCTTCTGACAGGTTCATCGTACAGAGATATTCTCTAAATCAACAACAAACAATGGGATCTTAATAAATAACCATAATCGACTTTGCGGCTAAGCGGCTATTTCCACACAAACACAAAATAATACAAATATATCATAATAAAAAAATTATGTTGACAACTGACACTGACATATAATAACCACAGAACAGATTATTATATATTACTTCTAGCATGAATATAAAATACAGGGCACAGGCCATAGATAAATAAATATGGTACAGGCTCAAAACTCTTAGGTAGCACAAAGTAGCACAAAGAAGTTGGCTTGGAAGTATGACTGGTCAAATTAATGAATAGGTGCACAATTTTGTACTTTTAATTATTAATAACTAATTAAATAATAAAGTAATAACGTGAACAATTGCAGATTTGATTTGAGCATTTAGTGAGCAATTATGAGCACTTATGCATTAATCTGAGTGGTTTAGGAAAAAACAATTTTGTAATTTAAATTTTTAATAAGTAATTAAATAATTATTTAATAGTGTGAACAATTGCGGATTTCAATTAAGCATTTTGTGAGCAATTATGAGCACTTATTTATTTTAAAATTGGTTTATTGGTTTTAAGTATGATAGACAAAAACAATTCTGTATTTTAAATTATTAATAACTAATTAAATAATAAATTAATAATGTGAGCAATTGCGGATTTGAATTGAGCTTTTACTGAGCAATTATGACCACTTATTCATTAATCTGAGTGGTTTAGGAAAAAACCATTTTGTATTTTAAATTATTAATAACTAATTAAATAATTTATTAATAGTGTGAACATTTGCGGATTTAAATTAAGCATTTTGAGAGCAATTATGGGCAGTTATTCATTTTAAAAAAAGTTTATTGGTTTAAAGTATAATAGACTAAAACTATTCTGTATTTTAAATTATTAATAAATAATTAAATAATAAATTAATAGTGTGAGCAATTGCAGATTTGAATTGAGCATTTTGTGAGCAATTATGGGCAGTTATTCATGTAAAAAAAGTTTATTGGTTTTATGTATAATAGACAAAAAAATCTGTATTTTATATTATTAATTACTATTTAAATAATTAATTAATAGTGTGAGCAATTGCAGATTTGAATTGAGCATTTAGTGAGCAATTATGAGCGCACATTCATTAATCTGATCGGTGTAGGAAAAAACAATTTTGTATTTTAAATTATTAATAAATAATAAAATAATTTGTTAATAGTGTGAGCATTTGCGGATTTAAATTAAGCATTTTGTGAGCAATTATGGGCAGTTATTCATTTAAAAAAAAGTTTATTGGTTTTAAGTATAATAGACAAAAAAAATCTGTATTTTAAATTATTAATAACTATTTAAATAATAAATTAATAATGTGAGCAATTGCAGATTTGAATTGAGCATTTAGTGAGCAATTATGTGCACCTATTCATTAATTTGACCAGTCATACTTCCAAGCCAACTTCTTTGTGCTTCATAACGTCTATGCTCTGGGTCCTAATATAGACGTAATTATATGAATCGATTCTTTAGATTTCGCTTCGAATCGTTTTTATGTTAGTGTATAAACACGGCCGGCCCTAACCATCTAAGCGCCCTGGGCAAATGATTCCTCTGGCGCCCTTTTATATCCTGCTAATGTTATTAACGTAAAAGTTTGTAAGGTATGTTAGGATGTATGGATGGACGTTTGTTACTCTTCCACGCAAAAACTACTAAACGGATTTTGATGAAACTTTCTGATAACATAGTCATTCTCATCAGAATAACACATAGGCTATAATTTATAATGATATTATATAAATTATACTGATTACGAGTGGGTCACAAGTTTGATTATAATTAAAAACTTTATTTACTTTAATAATTTATTTACTTTTTTAATTTTTATTGAATTAATAGACAACTACAAACATTTTTTTATAGGATAAGGGTAACAAATTAGCACACAGTCCACCTGATGGTAAGTGGTAGCTGTGGCCCATAGACATCTACATCCTCGATTACTAAACAAATTGCTAATGCGTTGTCATCCGGGAGGTCTAAGATGGAATACCTCCATTCCAGTAATAAGTGTCTCCGGTTCTCTACAGTCACCATACGGAACAAAGTGTTAAGCTGCTATTTTACGCTGGTATTCTGTGAGAGCATGGTCCTTCCCCGGCCGAGCAGATCCATTCGTGTTACAACTATACTAGTAATATAGAATCTTTTTTAAAATCAATAAGTTATCTTCTTTTTAGCGGTAGTGCATATTTTGTATGCGCTAGATTTTCATTATTTATATTTTTTAAAAACACCGACTCCTTACTAACGACCTCTGGTATATAATCAACGTAATAAAGTTAAGATAATTGAGAATCACACGATAAACTATGCCGACAAAATTCCATCCGAACAATCTATCTAGAACAAGCTTAAATGGCAATATAAAAAGTATGTTTTTAAAGAAAACTAAAAAAAAACTAAACTTAAGTATATATTGTGAATAAATACTCGCTAAAAATTAAAAAGAATACTAGTATTAGGATACGGTCGTGTTCCGATATACACAGCGAGCACTGCTCAGTGAACACTAGTTAAAAATTCGTTCCATTAAGGACTGCCAGTATACTGATACAGTACCCTAGGGAAATATATGACGTCATTAATCGCCGCCATTTTTGTACTGTGAGCACTGGCGCTTCGAGGTAAGGTGCTCTTAGTAACCAAAAAAAACATAACAGCGCCTAGAGATTTAACAGCTTCTACGAATGATTGTTAATTAATATTGTTATTAAATAAACTCGGACATTAAATTTTAAAAGCAACAACATTAAATAGTAACGTTTCTTGTTGAAGGGAAACCCGTACATGATCACAGAATACTTTACTCCTAGCGGAGATACATGATAAATATTTTCATTTGCAAACAGTGTCGAAAAATTGGCATGACACTGGTAAACTGGACTACGTTCCGTTTTAAACAGTATCCAGTATATCAAACTAAAAAGGAACGGCTTCACAGTATACTGAATTGATTACAGCTGCATCATGGTTCTACCACGTAAAAAAGATATTATTATTAATAAATACAATATTTTATATATCCATTGTAGTGGACTGTATGTATTTATTTGTGTTAGGGTGATTACTGCTAGGGACGTTATTAAAGAAAAAGTGGTACACGTTACAATTATCATCATCATCATTACAGCCCTTCACAAGTCCACTGCTGAACATCGGCCTCCTCCAAAGAATGCCACAAAGCACGGTCCTGAGCCACCTGCATCCATCGACTTCCTGCATATCTTACCAGGTCGTCACTCCATCTAGTGGGGGACGCCCTACACTTCGTCCGCCGGTACGAGGCCGCCACTCGAGAACCTTTTTTGCTCAACGGTTGTCGGTTCTTCGAGCTATATGTCCGGCCCATTGCCACTTCAGCTTACTAATCCGTTGGGCTATGTCGGTCACTCTGGTTCTACTGCGGATATCCTCATTTCTAAGTTTATCACGCAGAGAAACTCCGAGCATAGCCCTCTCCATAGCTCGCTTAGCGACCTTGAGCTTCCTCATCCAGCCAGCAGTGAAGGACCATGTCTCAGTACCATAGGTCATCACTGGCAACACGCACTGGTTGTACAGTCTTGTTTTCAAGTTTTAAGGTATACCTGACGAGAAGATGTGCCGTAATTTCCCGAACGCTGCCCAACTGAGTTTAATCCGTCGATTGACCTCTCGGTCGAAGTTGGACTTACCTAGTCGGACTAATTGTCCCAGGTAAACATACTCTTCAACAACTTCGAGCTTAGTGTCCCCAACATATACCGGCATAGGTGTGACATGGACATTTAACATGATCTTTGTTTTGTCCATGTTCATCTTAAGACCTATCCGTTGGGAAACACTATTGAGATCATTGAGCATAGTGCTTAGGTCCTCCAGCGATTCTGCCATAAGGACTATATCGTCGGCAAATCGAAGGTGAGTGATGTACTCGCCATTGATGTTAATACCATATCCTTTCCAGTCCAGAAGTTTGAAAACGTCTTCCAATGCAGTGGTGAAGAGTTTCGGGGATATCACGTCACCCTGTCTTATACCTCTCTGCAATTGGATAGGTTTCGTACTCTGGTTCTGTACTCGGATAACCATCGTAGCCCTACTGTACAAGCACTTCAGCACTTCGATATACCGACAGTCAACTTGGCATCGCTGAAGGGACTGCAGCACCGCCCAAATTACGACGGAATCAAAGGCTTTTTCATAGTCCACATACGCCAGACATAGTGGCAAATTGTACTCGTCGGACTTCTGTACAATTTGCCGCAGGGTATGTAAGTGGTCTATGGTGCTAAAGCCTTTTCGGAAACCGGCTTGTTCGGAGGGCTGGAAGTCGTCAAGTCTGCGCGCGAGACGATTCGTAATGTGACTCTCGAAAACAGCACGTAGACGCGGCTCGGAAGGGAAATCGATCTGTAGTTCTTCAAGAGAGCGTTGTCACCTTTCTTGAAGAACAAGACCACCGCACTTCTGCTCCACGCCTCCGCTGTAGTGCCACCATGGAGGATGGAATTAAAGAGCTTCTGAAGGACTTCAAGTACCGGTTTTCCACCCGCTTTCAGAAGCTCCGCTGTAATTTCATCCTCGCCTGGGGCCTTGCCGTTTTTAAGGTGCTGGAGAGCCATTCTAATCTCGCTCAGACTGACGTCCGGGATTTTATCGGAATAGTGTCGGATAAGACTCGCTCTTGGATCGTTACTCACACTTACGTGTGGCTCCAACGATGATGTGTACAGCTGCCCATAGAACCTCTCAATCTCACTCAAAATCTCAGGTGTCCCGGAAACGACGCTGCCACACTCGGTCTTCAGCTTCGTTACAATTATATATTAAAGTATTTACACGAGTGACAATTATGACTATTACTATATATTTTTTTATAGGATTGGGTGACAAACGGGCACACAGCCCACCTGATGGTAAGTGGTTGTTGTGGCCCATAGACATGTACATTTATCCT